TTATAGTTATTAAAAAATTATAAAAATACATAGCACAATTTTTTTTTATTACTATTTGAAGTTCAAATATTGACTTAATACGTAAAAATTACGGCAATGTTCAAATTATCTTAGATAGAAATTCATAAAGGTTCCTAAAATATTTTTACAATAGCAGTTGAAAAATAAAAGAAATGCGTAGTCACATTTTTTTTACAAGCATTTAAATTTTAATTTTGACAATATACGTAAAAATCACGAACATTTGCAAATTATTTTAAGCTAGAAATTCATAAAAAATTGTATTTTTAAATCTAAGATTTGACAATTTTTAATAATCTATAATACCTATATCCTAGACAGATAAACCGTCTCCGTTCAGRATCGTTTTTCGTATATAATGATACCTATCATTGCATTCAAATTTAACCTACCCTAGTCAGAGGTCCACYCWMCCCCAATGTACAGCAGAGCGATACCCACTTACCCGCTTGTTTTTTTTCTTTGTGACAGTCATCACGTTTTGGGGCAGTAAAAGTGCTTCGATTTTCGACTTTAGTACCTTGTTAGATCAGAAAGTGAATGTAGTTGGTATTTTAGGGGATCAAAATTCCCAATACTTTTCTAAATAATCGGGATAAACAAACTAAAAATTAAGGGAAAACGGGAAATTATCCGCACAATCAGAAAAAATTGATTTTKGTTTTTAAGTAACATTAAAACAAATGACCCTATGGTCATTAGATACATACCATGTACCTGGTTTTGTATAGATACATAAGGTTACCAATGTTTGAATTATGAAAATAAAAAGGTTAACTATGTATCAATGAATAGAAAAAAAAATGAGAGGGGAAAGCATGGGAACTCGTAGGCAAATGTTTTTCAAGAAAAAAAAATTTGAACCTACTCCAAAAGTTAACATTCTTAAATTAATGTAAAAAAAATGAGAAGGAGAGATATAGAGCCCGCAGGTAAACGCATTCCAAGAAGCAAAAAAAAATTTTAGTTTACTTAAAAAAAATTATTGAATRATTTCATAATAGGAATACACACTGAAGACTGCAGTATATTATATCAAAATTATTTAATTATCAAATCCAAAAAAAACAATCAACAATAGAAAATTATTAAATATCTATGTAAAGTAAGAGTATTATAATATGTTCTTTATTACCGAGACAACTTAAAAAGAAATGTCGCTGATTTTTACTACCAATTTAAATGTTCCACACAATACTTAATATAAAATTTACAGTTTATAAAGTATAAACCTAAACTTGCCGTTTCTGTTATTACGTAAGTGTAATGCATTTATTATCTTTAAATTTACTCTGCCGTTATCTTTGCGTTTAGTGTTTGCAGACTTAAATATTTAGTAGAACATAAAATTATACGCTTGAGCTGTGTATAGCTTCTGCAGGTCGATAGTCATTATTCAACATAAAGAGAGAAGACACGTTGCTCTAAAAATATTATTTTTATGATTTTATTAGTCTATAACATTGATTTACAAAACAATACGAATAAACTAAACATAATAATTAAATTTATATTATTCAGATGATGTTTGTATAAATCTCTTTCTATAATTCTATATATATAAACAGTGTTTTTAAGTGAAAATTTAATCTTGATTATGTAATATCTATAGCTAGTAAATAGTTTTTTGTTTCTGACACATAAGAGATCCTTGATAAAAAATCTAACAATTGTAGGTACATAGTATTTTTGCAATACATCATCAGTTGGGAAAAAATTTGAATTCAAATCGAATTTTTTCTGCATGTCTAAAAACATTGCTTTCCAAGCACAAAGTTAATTTCATACATCAAGCAATAAAAAAATGTATAACTTATTTTGCATTTTTAAGACTAATACATTTTTAGTGCATTTTATGGTTTTAAGTAATTTTTATATAGGAAAGGATAAAATTAGATACATAATGTAGATTAACATTCATTCCAATTCTAAAAAAATAAAAATAAATATTAATTATGTTTTTACCGATCAGAATAACCCTGACACCAGACGAAATTATTGTTGACACATGTAAACACTTTAACACATGTATATACATACACATACAATAAGCAGTTACAACATATTGCATGCAATTATGTAAAGCTATTTATCTAATTGTGTTTTTATTGAATTTAAAAAAGATTTTTAAGTTTTTTAGGGCATTTTTTTGATATTATGTTGTATTTTATAGGTTATTTTTCTTATTTTCTATGGCATTAAAGTTTGTTCCCTATTCATCAGTACCTATACAGCAGCTGAGTGAAACTGTCAACTCAACGTCGCACCGGCAGCACCTCGAAAAATGATCGTGAGTCCGAATCGCATGCTAAAAAAAAAAAAACATAAATTGGAATGTCCAAATTGCATGCTATCAGATTATCAGGTTGATGGATTATTATTTATTATAAACTTGTTATAATAGGTATAACTTAAACTTTTTTGAACTTTTCTAATTTAACTTACTTTTCCACCTAACCTTATTACAATAATAATATAAAATTTGGTCGAGTTTTTAAAATAACTAATTATTATAATAAATACTGTTCAAAATAAAACTAAAGCTTAAAATATTTCAATCTA